TGTGGGGGGGTGTGTGTGTGTGTGTGTGTGTGTGTGTGTGTGTGTGTGTGTGTGTGTGTGTGTGTGTGTGTGTGTAAGGGGGTCTGCTGGGGGGGGGGGTCCTGGATGCCTACTGTTGGGGGGGAGGTGCAACACATGCAGCAGACCTTGCCCAGGCATGCGATCTGCGTTGTCCCCATGGTGTTCCATATGGGGCCAAGCCCACAGCCTGGCCAGGTGCTGTTCTATGCCCCACACCTCCAGTAGAAGATCCTGTTTCTGATCTTGCTCCTGCCAGTGTAAGAGAGTGGATGGGCAGGTGGGTGGGAAGGCGGCTGGGAGTTGAAGCCAGATGCCCATGTGCTGGGGCAGGTGTTACCTGCCAGCTCTGTGTTCCTGAGGGAGCCTCGGCAGCCAGCTTGCTGGACTTATAAAGGACCTTTTCTATTCCCATTCCTGCACATGCTGTGCCATACCACACCATGTTGCACCACTCCCACTGGGCACATGGCACTCTAGCTCCAGTTGAAGTTGGCCAGGAGCTAGAGCCAGAGCCCCATGCACTGGGGCAGGAGCCACCCAGCTGAAGCTGCTCACCTGGAGCAACACGCCACAGTGCAGCAGGAGCAAGGTCAGGAGAGAGAGCTGCTTCTGGAGGCAGGGGCACACAGCAGCACACAGCTGCAGCCGCACTGGGAAGAGCCCACCAGAAGCTGCATGTGCTGGCCGAAGCCAGGTTGTGGACACCAGCGGGAGCTTGGCGCAGGCTGCTCTGGCACGATTGGGTGGGGCTTGGACCCATGCAAAGCACTGCAGGGGCACCCACAGGCTGGATCCAGTCACCTGGAAGCCTGGATCTGAGGCCATATTTTGCCTACCTCTGGAGTACAAGAATCACTTCCCTTGATTTGCAAGTGAAATTCCTATTGATACAGCCATGCATGCTATTGGCCTTTTTTGCAACATGGGCACACTGTTGGCTTATATTCAGCTTATGGTACACTGTAACCCCAAAGTCCTTTTCTACAGTTCTGCAAGCTATGTAGTCCTTCCCTAGTGTGTATTTGTACATGCAACTATTCCATCTCAATTGCAGGATTTCCCAGTTGTCCTTGATGAATTTCATCCAGTTGATAACAGGTCATTTCTCAAGTTTGTCAAAGTCATTCTGGAATCCAGGTCTCACCTCCAAAGTGTCTGGAACCTGCTGTTATCTGCAAGTGCTAAGCATGCACTCAAGACCATTCTCCAGATCATTAATGAGATATTATACAGTACTGTACACAGGATAGACTGCTAGGGAGCCCCACACAGCATCTCCTCCCAACTAGACTTCAAGCCACTAATGACTACTCATTGAACATAATGATCCAACCATTGTACATCCACCTTACAGCATTTAAACTAATATGTATTTCTTTAACATACAATGAAAATGTCATTTTAAACTTTTTTATGTGTTTTCCATTCATCCTTATAGTACTTTCCCTCATCTGAAGTCCCAATGGGAACATAAACAAATTAATAAACAAGAATATAAGGATTAACTTTCAAACTTTACCATCATATCCCCAAGAGCATAAACCATCTGAGGTTCCATGGATTTTCCACTTACTCTTCACACCTGAACCCTTGTGCAGCATGATGTTCTCTTTTGTTCTGCTGACAGAGCTGAAAAACAAATCTTCTCCGTGGATTGTAAGAAGGGTCTCATTTCTGTATTCCCATTGTTGAAGTTGACTTGTCTTGTTACAAGGATACAAAAATACCTCTACTTGTTCCTTCTTTGAAGGCACTGCCAAGCCTAAAGTGAATGTCAGGCTCATAATTTGGTGCACAAAGACCCACCTAACTTTTTGTGAGATAGCATTCTGATCACAAGGAGCAGTTATGACTGAGCTAGAGCTCTGAGCTTGCATACAGTACTTACTATCTTCATTATATATTAAAAAGATGTCATTATCTGCAAAACAAAATGAGAAGAATGAATATGTTAAAGAGAGGGTAGCAGAGACTGTAAACTGCGGTGATACTGTGCTTTGAAAGAAGTATGGACCTTTTCCTACATCAAAATAATCAGAATTCAGGTCCCACTTACAATGAGAAAGGTAGCATCTTCACAAAGCCTAGTTAATAGGGAGGAAAATCAGAAATGACTCATACAGACAGGCATAGAGGAACTATCAAGTATGCACACTAAGAAGAAACAGTGATTTATATTATATCAGATTTTAAAACATGTCATAACTATAAGAGACCTTATTCTTAAATCCCTCTGAAAAATACCTCTTCCAAGCAGGCTTTCAAACAGACCTCTAGGAAAGCTTTATATATTTACTTGAATCCAAGAAGAAGTTTCATCAGCATGAAAGAATCAACACGATGGGGAAAACCCATTGTTTTAGATTTGAGTAGCAGCTCAGGGCAGGCAGCAGTTCCGCTCTGGCTTCAGCTCCAGGCTCAGGGCCAAAGACAGAGATGAGCTGCTGCCTGCCTTGGGTCGGGTGACCCCTGGTGGTAGAGGGGCCTCTTGGTAGGGGGAGTGTGGGGGGACCTCTCATTGGGGGAGATCCATGGTGTACAGCTTGGGTGTGGGGGGAGTGAGGGGAACACCATGCAGTCTGCACCCTTGCTGCCCTGCTGCCTGCCCTCCTGGCCACTTGCCCCTCCCCACCCACTGCTTACCTTCAGTTCTGGCTGTGGCCCCTCTGCCCCCACCCAGGCAGGCCTGGAGCTGCCACTGTTGCTTCTGCCTGGCTGGGACAGGCTGGGGTTGGGGGTCACTGTCAGTGCTAACTACCTCATAGCCAGAGCCATGCAGAAGATAAAGGGTGGGAGGATGAATGCACTGAGGTGGCAGGTGGGGTGAGGTGGGGTGTGGTGGGGAAGCAGGCACTGGGGGAAGAGAGCAGACAAGTGGCAGAGGGGCAGATAGGCACAGGGGGCAAGGCAGATCTGGGCTCTCATCCCCCACTGCTGTTTTGGTGGATGAATTTAAGACAACCATTGAATAATTAGATTTTATTCATGGAAAATAATAACAAATTTTAATTTTTCATTTATTGAATCTAATAATTGCAGGGTGGTCTAAAATTTAAAGTTGTCTTGGATTTAGGGAACTGTGGTATTTCTTCATTGTATCAACTATGGTATTTCTTCATTGCACCAAGCTGTTATCATCACCTGGTATATTATGCATTAGAATTACATTTTATATTTCTGAACTAGAAACAGGCTATATGTATATATTATAATGCATTCTGTAAATATGTGAGCATGGAGCTTTTCTTTCACAGGCCATCTATCGTATTCAGTACAAAAGGTGTTCTGTTATTCTGTATTTTCTTTGGATCAGGGTGTTAGGGTGCTACACTGCAATTTCTCATTTAACAGAAAAGGAAACTGCCAAAAAGTAGCTTGTTGTCTTGCCCAGTTCTTATCCCTTTCTTTAATGTAGTTGCAGCCAGAGTCTATTGTTGTTTATACCATCAGACATTAGTCCATCCAAAGCTACAGATCACAGTATGTGCAACATTATGGGGAAGTCTGCATACTACAGTGCAGTGTTATGCAAAGGTACTTGACATATCACTGAAAGAGAGATTTTGGGTACCAGATCTGCATTAACATCATGTACTGACCACCCTAATAAGTAGCCCAGTCAGTGTGCTACACTGCTCCCTGTATCTAGGTTAGGCTCTTCAGAGTAATTTAGCACAGGATTACATTATGCTGTTTAGACACATCTTATGATATACATAAGGTACGTCTTATCTCCTGGCTTAGATACACCTGGCAAAGAGTAGAAGAGTTGAAGACTCTATGTACTACATTTCTCCAAGCATGAAGTAGAAATTATAAATCATGTCATCTACTTTTTTTCTGCTGTGCCTACTGAAATGGTTAACTGTAAATGGGATAGAAACTATTTCTTTTTGTGCACTCATGAAGTATGCTTAATATATTGGCCTTGGTGCCAGCTAGTGTACTTGGGAGACTGTAATATTATCAGTGGGGTATAGTAATAATTTCCCTTGGACACCAATGCAGCTTAGGCTTCAGCTGCATTATCTTTTAGTGGCTCATTGGAACTACTCTGTTTGGTAACAAGTGCTGCTGGCAGCATTAATATGCCAGTACTGCCCAGCTATTTCATGTGGCTCTTGAATTTAATGATATGGGAAAGACTCTTTGTGATCTGTCCCCATCCTAGCACAGTTATGCAGAGCCAACCATGATCTTACTTTCGTATTCTTATTCAAAGTTAACTTTCACATAAAACCTTAATTATACCCCATACCTATCCCTGTAGTCTCACAATTTTATATCACATCTTTACACACACAATTTCCTGTCTCCTTTTTCACTGAAATATCTAAGCAAGCAGAGGGTATCCTGCTGATACCAAACTCATTACATATAGCTGATTGCCATTGGTTTCACTACGAGTCTTCATGACTACAGCTCTGTTCCTCTGCCTGTGCTTCTGGTCCTGTTCTGCCCCTTACGTCCTGCCTCTCCCAGTTGTGGGGATATTCTCCTTCCTTCCTAGGAGACCAACATACCTGGATAAGAATCTCTGTCACATTTCTTTATGCCATTCCACTTAACATGAGTACTGGCTGCAGTATCACCAGACTGTACCAAAGTGTTAAAGTACCCAAAGAAAAAAACATTGGAGAAGCACTTTCATATCCTCTTTTACAAGGAACACAAAACAGGTACTTACCAAATAGCTGAACAGCTGAATACATGAGAGAAAGAAAACCCAGGAACCTGAAAAGACTCATCACAAATGTTTCTTTCCTTTCCTTCTTTCTTTTCACTAAGAGAGGAACTGAAATCAGTTTCTGTTGATAAAATCATTTTAAAACAAGCTGATAGCAGGCCTTCCTTAGTTTTGAAAAGCTGATGAATTAGGAGAGACCTCAGGGCTCTAAATAAAGAACTATCCTGTCACATGTATCATTCTGAAATAACATGAATATACAATTCAAATTTTGCTTCCAAGGGAAAATTTTCTTTCCATAGAAATGTAGGTGATAAAGCAGTAACAGTTCAATACCACCCTTCTGGAAATAAATTAAATTGCACAAAAGGGTCAGATTTGGGATTGTCAATCAGACCTCAAATGAGGATAGCAGGGAACAGAAAGAGAAAAAGAGCAAAGGTGTGCCCTTTCTTTAAACTTGAGTGTTGCACCTTAAATAAATACTTGGTAAGAATAGAGAAAATTAGCAAATGGGATACAGGCCTTATCTTTACTACTGAAAAAGGAGGGTTTTTTTTTTTTACCTTTGGAAAAATAATTTGTATAAGCTGTGTAGTGGTGAAAACACAATGAGAAAAAGCATTTCAGTTTGACCACAAGGTAAACTATGTGAGCTTATAAACTATTATACCCTGATATTCCTTACTTCATCTCAAGGTAAAACTAGTGTCTTGTCTTCATGGTCATCATCCCAAGATAACTCAGATGCATCAGCTACCCAGATGTATAAAAATACATCTTTTTGTAAGTGATTTTAGCAAATGAGTCTATTAATGGAGATAAATTGTCTTCCCTAAATAAAAAATGGGAAAAATTACAGCAGGTGCGGGGCAGATATAGAATAGCTGCTTCAGAGTGCCCACTAGATATCACAGTATAACTGTTCCATATGCATACAGATGAGTTATATTGCTGTATGTTTATCACTGAATCATAGAACCATAGAAAAGTAGAGTTGGAAGGGACCTCAGGAGGGCATCTAGTCCAACCCCTGCTTGAGGCAGGATCATTTCAACCTGAACCATCCCAGTCTAGTGGATATCTAACCTACTCTTAAACATTTCCAAGGATGGAGAGAGACTCCACAGTCTTTCTGGGCAGCTTGTTCCAACGCTTAATCACTCTCATAGTGAGATAATTCTTCCTAATACCCAACCTAAATATCCCCTACTGCACTTTGAGGCCAGTACTCCTAGTCTTGTCCCTGAAGCCACAGAGAATAGGATCTGCACTTATAAGAAAGTAGGTCTGGAAGGAACCTCATGGGATCATCTAGTCCATCATTGTTATCATCAAAAAATCCCTTGATTCAAGGATCTCTACCATGGCTCATTGGTGGGTCTTGAGGTGACTTAAGAGTTCATTTCTTGATCCACATATCTATGTTGCAGGTCTTTCTGCATTGGACAGTAAGCTGCAGGGTGGGATTCCTTTCCTTTTCCTTCCTCCACTGTCTCTTCTCTGCTTGATGAGTGAGATGCTTTCCCAGTTACTGATATATGTGTTAATGGAGAAATAAATTGGAAAGTGCTACATGTTCAAGCAATTTATTATCCAATAACAAGCCACAAAAATGCTGATCCAGTCACAGAGCTGTTACTTGTTAAATGTACAACATCTTTACAGCTTGTTTGCATCATGCTTCAATTTGAATGTTATACATAGGTTGATAGTGTTAGGCCAGGTCCTCCAGCATCCCAAGGTGGGCAGCTCTCTCCTCTACCTCAACTCCTTCCTGCAAGGTAACTTCCTGTGACTTATGCTAAACTCTGCTGCTCCAGGATGCCACAAAAGGAAATGTCATGATTCACTGCCTCTCCTCTAGCCCCACCACTCCCTTCCCCTTCCCACACTTCACCTTTGCACAGGTTCTCCCCTCCTTGTGCAAGGGTTGGGGCAGCAGCTCCTTCACCCAGGGGGAGTTCAACTGGTGAGCTCAGAGCCTACTTCTCATTAGCAGAACAGTGGAAGGCTGGAGGTGAGGGAGGAGGAGTTACAGATGGTGCCAGCAGCTCTTCAGCTCCTGTTGCAGGCAAGTGCTAGTGAAGTAAGTTACCAAGCTATGTTTTCCCCCCTTGGATAGTTAGTCCAATGAATATGAATCAGGTCACAAGGAGCAACAGTTTCTATTGAGCAATATTACCTGATGCTTGCTGGAAATAATGTCTGCTGGGGGCCTTAAAGAGCCTCTAACATTAAGTCATAACATGTTAACATTAAGGTATAGCATTCTATTATTTGATATACCTATACATTTTCAGAAAATATACCTTTTGTTCAAATAATAAGTGAGTTGAGTAGATAAATGTCTTTCTCATGCATAGCAAACAAGCTGAATCCCTAAAGAAAGTGCAAATAAGCATATGAAGTAGACCAAGATAAAAAAATTGAACTCCAGATTATTTTGATAAAGCTCATAAATATTTTGCCAATTTCTTCTGAAAAGTTTTATTTACTTTTGACCAATTCCTGGTTGTCACCAGTGCTTGCAAGACATGCTGCAAAGGAGAAGTACATTCCATCTAAGGGCAAAAAGCACTTCTCTGAAGTTTTGATCTAAAAATTCTGCTACCACCTCAGAATGTGCCTATAAGAAGCAGGCTGCTACAGGAAGGATGGATTTTCATGCCAGGTACCAAAAGTCTTACAGAGGTGTTTCATTCATAAACTTAATAATCTGACCCTCTAGTAATCATTTTCCTTTATCCTTTATTAAAATAATGCCCTTATGAAAATAATTTTATTGTTGTTTGTTTCAGTGGGAAGCAGATATTATAATATGGTTTAGTTCCTGTTTCAATTATTCCTGTTAACAAGAATACACATGATTTTATATAAGAATTTAAAAGAGTCATTCCCCTTTATCTATAACTTATGTAAGATATTACTTCTTCTCTTTAAGAGACATTATATCACTTACGTGTTTGCAGCCATCTTTGGCCCTGTTTCATTCATGCTTCTGTTTCAAGCAGCTCTTCTTCTTTTAAAGTAGGGGGAAAGAACTCAGATCTGGTTGCATAAATACCTGTTCGGGTGTTTTCCTCCCCTTTCCTATGACAAAAACCTCAAACTAAAAATCCCATTAAGTTTTTCCTCAAATAAGCACAAACATGCCTTTTTTTATGAATGTAAAAAAAGTTGTCTTTACTAGTTTAATATGACAGCTACATGTTGGTATGAGGTTATTCACATACAGATCAATAGCCTCTCTGCGTAGTCCCTGGTCAGAGGAATTTTCTAGTTTATAGTCTTATCCTCAGGCCTCTTGATACCCAGGATCTCTCCTGTAACTTGCAGCCAGGCCATTTTAAATCTGGTCTAGAGAATAGAAGACCTAGAGAAGAGAAGCCAGTATGGCTGGAAGGCTGTCTGCTACCATAAAGTGTTGAGTAGGTGCATTTACATGTGTGCATTTACTGCATGGCAACCAAAATTACTGCATAGTACAGGAGGGTGTCTACACGTGCACACCTGTAGTGCACAGTAAATATGGTGACTTATGCCAACTTGAGCATTACGCAGGTATCAAATTTACACCCGATTAGTAACTGCGCAGTAACACATGCAGTAGACAACTTACTGTGCACACATGTAGACAACTTACATGTAGACTTACTGCACAGTAACACTGTGTGTATGGACTCACTTGGGAATAAGTTTAGTCCCAAGTCAGTCCACACAGTGTTAATGCATTTTAATGCCTTTATGTGTAGACGATGGCCTATTTCCACCTACTGCACAGTAAGTTTAATTTGGTGTAAATGCATGTGTAGGCACGCTCAGTATGTTGTATCATACCCATAGCATCTGAATTCAAGAGATACTGTAGTGTGGGACTAATCAGAAAGTCAGAAAAGTACATTCACAACAAAGTCATATGAAAGAAAATTTAACCAAGACAGTTTTATTTTGCACTTTTAAAATTATTATTATTTTTCTGTTTTAAACAAGTATATGCAGCATCTGCTTTCTGTGGACTCTTGGCTATAACTCATCTGGTCACAAATAAAAGTTCCCTAACCCCTTGCTTACAAACTATGTGGCATCTCTGCAGGCTAAGCTCTTCAGTACTTAAGTATTATTATCTAAGGAATAAGATATTATCATCTAAGGAATACATATTTTATTTTATATATTTACACAGTGTCAATTTCAAGCTGATAAAAAAGTTAATACTCATAGAATGTCATAAAAATTTGACCAATAAAAATATGCAGCCATATTTATTTTACAAAACTTGAGCTGAAGCCACAAATGAAGAAAAGCAATTAACATTCACTTTCACTTATTAATATATTGATCCATGAACATGATTTTAATAAGGTTTACATCACATTTTACAAAATCAATACTTGTGTGGTTTGGATTTTAACACTGAATGAACAAAGATGAAAAACAATTATTCATGTAACTTCATATATCCCAAAGTCATCTTCACTGCAGCAATCTTATATACACCTTCATTAGCCTATGTCCCAGCAGCAAGATCTTTGGAACGAAGTTGATATGATGCCCGTGGAGTATTTGTTGAGGGAATGCTCACTATGGGCATGTCCCAGCAAACACAGATGCAGAGGCATGCGTTTCTTATGGGACAAGTAGCAACAGGGTATATTTGGGCAGCTGCTATTTGTCCCAGGGCATGCCCATGCATGCACACTATGGCACTCAGCAAAGTAACTTGGGTGGGGTAGGGGAGGCTGAGGCTAGCCTGTGCTAGCCACAGCAGCCTTACCTGGGATCCTGGGGGCCTCCTTGGGCAACAGCGGTACTGAGCCAGCTGCTTAGACCCTGGCTGGAAGCCAGAATATGGCTCTGGCCAGCCAGGCTCCCTTTCTGGTCGTGCACGATGCTGCTGTATGCACATCACTTTTTTTAGTGGTGGGTTTTTTTGACACTGGGATCTCCCAGTGTCAACACCCCCGCCCAACAACTGTTGCACTGCAGATTAGCAGTGCTCATTTGGACATGCCCCATATGTCTAAGATTGAGATTCTTTATGGATAATGAGTAAGTTTTGGCAAAAATTGAGAGGCTTGAGCTCACTATGAAGTATGTGGGCTGGGAGATCATAGTTAGCGTTACAAGGAAACTGCTCAGAACACGTTCTAACCTTTAATATGGTATGCTAATGCTTACCATGTTCTAAATAAAACACATGCCCAGTGTCCCCTGTGACAAGGCCCTGAGGGAAAATATATGGTATGGCTTATTGACAAGTATGGTAAATAGAAGAGCTGGGAAAAAAACGTGACTGACACACACAGCAGTGCAGAGATCAAGACACCAGCTAATTGTTAATTCAAGTCTCAGCACTGGCTTAAGACCCAGGTGTAGTGGGGGAAGCGAGCTTGACAATGAGCTGATTGTTGCCCCTGCCCTGGCACTGCATCAACTGATTGTCATTGCCAACCCCAGCACCACACAGAAGACTTAAACTCATAGGAGTAATCTGGCAATAGCTGAATATGTGTTACTTAATAGGATCTGTAGATATTCCTCACCCAAAAAGTTGTGACACTGCCATGATAGGATCGCACTAAGTAAGTTTTACTGCTTGAATGTGTAGATTTATATGCAGTTAACACATCTTAAATGTCCCATATGGCAAGGCCCTAAATTTTACTTCTGTGAAAAAGTTTAAGAATTTCTTGGGGTAGTTTAAAAGGATTAATAGCTTCAGTTAGTATGTATAAAAATGTGCTGAATGCAATAGGCAAATATAACTTTTGCTTAAGGTCTTATTTTCTCCAATTATATTTCTGTTATAGCACTACTATGCTCTAACAGTATGCTACTGGAGCTCACATTCATTTGTAGCTGATTCAGCCTTTTTATTTTGAATAAGTTGTTAATCATGATGCCCACTCCTATGAAAATTAACAGGACCAGAATAATCAGTATCCAAATTCTGCTTTGGACAGGTTCCTCATCCATTTTGTCTTCTGTAAATAAATGTAAAGAAATTACTAGTCAACAACTGTCATAAGTACTAGGCTGCAGATTACAGAAAATCATTAGCTTGATTTTTCTACTCATTTACATTGACATAAATCAGAAACCTATTTGATTAAATGTGCCAATACTTTAAATCATGTTGGTACTAAACTTAAAGTAATCTTTCTAATTAGATAAGGCTACTTAGTTCACTAGAATTATCCAGTGAAGTGGTCTTGCCAGGTGGAGTGATGATGGCTAGGGATAGAAATTACACATAAAGTGGTATAAATGATTGAAAACCAGTTAAATTCTGTAACACAACAGAAGTGCGGTGCACATAAACTGCTTTCAAAATGGCCAAAACTGGTTTAACATAACCCTGGATGGATGTAGTATCAGACTTCATTAATTTAAGTTGGACTGGTTTATTGAACTTCTGTGCCAGATTCCCTCCTGATTCAAGTTAACACACAATCCCCCACAATGCTTTGCACCTCCCCTGCACCTGGCAGGGTGGGAGGGCTAGCCTTGGCCCAAGCAATCTACTCCAGCCAAGGAGGGAGGCATGTTCTAGTGGCCCTCCTCTTCTGGCCTGGGCAACTGCAGGCATGTGGCTGAATTTCAGGATTCAAAAATGAATGTCTGTTCACTTGCTTATCAGTTCAATCTACAAAGCTTAGACTAACTTGGAAAGATTGAATCAGTTCTGCCTCAGGCTTTTTAACTGTCTGTACTTGGCCAATAAGACCAGCTTTAAGGGGTGGAACAAAGTGCAAAGTATTCTGTATATTTCCCAGGCAAAATAGCAGTCATTATATATATATAAGGCCTGGTCCAACAAAATCCTGGTTGGAATGATCTAGTTGGGGGTGGTCCTGCTTTGAGCAGCGGGTTGGAATAAATGACCTCCTAAAGTCCCTTCCAAACCTAATTTTCTATGATTCTATGATAACAGGTGCAGATAGACTGAGGGTGCTATAGGCTTAGGCCCCTGGTTCACTGGTTAACTTACAATCAGGAATATAGAGAAGCAAGACACTGTTTTATTTCTGAATACTTTTTAAAATTAACACACATACAGCCTGACCACAGAAAACTGCAAATATGGATGGAGAAGAAAAAAGGAACATCAGACTCACTATCCCCAAAATATTAATTCAAAACTCAGTCTTGCTGCAGGAGGAAGAAAGTCCTGCTTTAATATGTATGAAATTTTAACATTTATGCTCTTAGATACTCACAAATGAAGTACCCCTCATTCACTGAGGCTAGAGTACCACAGCTCAGCTTCTACCTAACCTGGGGTGAGAGCTCATACGTATGGGCAGTTATCATGGTACAGCTGATGTATAGTAAATCTCCACCTCTTTCACCATGTGGTAAGGTGCTCATATGTTGATGTGGGTGGTGGCAGCACTGGGAGGAGCCTGCAGCCACCCCAAATTTCACTGTAGCCCCCCCGCCCATAGCTCTCTTCCAATGCTGCTGCCATCCACCCCAAGCCCAGCCTGGCTCAGCCCCCACCAAGAAGAGCCCCTTGCAATCCCGGGTCCAGCTCACAGCTGCAGCCTGCCCCACCCATGCAGATCCGGGGACACACACCACCCCGTGTCTTCCCAGGGTGTGCACAGCGGTGACAGCCACCCCCTTTGTGTCCCCTGGACAAGCTGTGGCTCCATCCTGTGCCTGCCCCACCCTGCCCCAACTGGACAGTGTCTGCTCCTGCCCCACTCCTCCCTCACCATGGGGGGCATTGATCTGCCCTCTCCACACCCCTTCCCTTCCATCACACCAGGCTTAACACCTACACACAGCTCTTCAAGCTACCGGGCTCTGCTCCTCACTGCCTGTATGCTGCGCTGCGGCTGCGTGCACACATGAGCATTTTTCACCCAAATTGTCAGCAACATCTAGAACCTAAACCCTTATTTCCCATAGACCCTTGGTATCTTTTACACGATTTCTATTTGCACAATGTTTTTTCAAGAACATAACCACCATGTAAATTGAGGCCTGACTGTACTTAACGTCAGACATGTGCTTAAATGACCTTTCTCTATGCACAGAGTTATTTTAATTTGTTATTCTTCTGAAAAGTCTTCAAGCCTGCTTAAATGTATATTTAATTTGAATCCCCACAAAACAGCCAGTGGCCCACCCTGTTTTCTTCTGATTTCTCTCCCTGATGTATCCCTTAGTGCAAAGATGTTGAGTCCTACTTATGAATTCACTTGTAGGGGTCTTGGGGATGTCAAGTTATCCAAATTGACTTGTATATCAACTCCCCTACAAACCTGACATAGCAGGCTTCTGATGGCTCCCCATCCCTTGCCCATATATGCTGCACTGAACAGATCTTAGAATAAGAGAGCAGTTGGCCCCACTTATTGAATAATGAAAAAATGACCTGATTTCCTATGTTATACCCAGACTATTCAAGACAGGTTTTGATTTAATGTGCTGTAGTATTCACAGCACACAAATTTTGCATTCTTAACCTCCATCCTTACACACTTCATTTATATCAGCTGACAGTTTTCTAATGCAGTTTCTTTATGCTGTAGAATGAGGGCACTCTCTGAAAGTCTTTTGAAATTAACACCACTAACACTGAGCATTTTGATAGAAACCAGATGACTCTGAATCCATGAACACTTTTGGCAGTATGATATTGCCTTTACTGAACCATGTGCAGAAGCAGACCACATCCTTTTGGCATTGTCCTGGACAGGACTTAAAAGTACCATGAAGCATCATATCATATAGGAACACAGAAGAAATGTGTCTATTATACCACAAGTTAGATTAGATGGTGCAGCATTCACTTATTAACCACCTAATGCAGGTTCTGAAATGCATGTGTAACTACAGCCTGTGTAAGACTGCTCCTTGCTCCATCACTGACTTCTGCACTTGCACTAAAAGGACTAGACCCAACCAATTGCAAAGGTACAATCATGTGTCAGTACTGATGTAATGCTTTCCAGGACGCTCGTGACGATCAAGAACATTCAATTCTGACCTTCTGAGAGAAAATAAAAAATTGCCTTAAAATAGGAACTCCTTTATAAAGACCTGATGATGTTGCATGAGAAATTGTTATTTGCTTTTGGAGACTTTCAGTTCTTTTAGAAGAGATTAATAATTGGTGAAACTCAGAAAGTTCAGAACCTTTGTGGTTTGTAAAACTGGACAGGAAATCAAAGCCTTGTACAATGTTGCTCTTTCAGCTGAGTCAGAAATATCACCCAGTAGCACAACTCATGATATTTCTCTATTTCTCCTTCCTGCCGAAAGCAGATGGCCCTGAATCATACAGAAATAAAATATAAAAAATAAGTGCTAACTGAACCTTTTTTACTAGCTTCCCAAAGTTTTCCACAGGAATTTGAACAATGATTTCATTTTGTTTTTACTTAACCAGAATTAGATCGGCCACCTCACTTGAACAAAGTACAGCCTGTATCTTCACACAAAAGGAGGCAGACAAGAAAATTGTTTAAATGTAATTCCTGTTGTCTGGAGGGAGAAAATTAAAGCTAGTAGGAAAAATGGAAGAAAAGCATCACAGAGCCATTTAAAGCATTTTCAAAGATTTGTGGTTATCCGTAGGTACTTTTTGACCATTCTTTGGCATGGCTGACAGAATACAACGTTATAGAAAAATCTGAAGCATGTGCAGCACAGAGAGGGCCAATATCCTGCTTACTTACATGTACTAATAAAATGTCAAGATACCTATATCATCTATGGGAAGAAAGCTGGGGAGCTGGCGTAATGCAATATATTTCTGAGCATGTCATAAACTGTAGAGGGGCGTTTAACTGGCTTGTTTATCGCTTTCCAAAAATGTTTTAAATTTACAGTCTTTACTTAACATTTTTTTAATTTGCTGTCTTTCGATTATTTTCCCTTTCCTTTCTTTGCACCAAATATTTTATTTGAGAGCAAATGCCATCTTTGTCATGTTAATAATTATATAGTTACTTAACATAAACTGTGGTTTGTGACAGTTTAGTATAGAATACAAAAATGTTTTTATACAATATTTACATGTTTATAAATGAGTCTTTGAGTATGTGGTATTTAAAATATGTACACATACATATATTTTTGGCACGGTATGATAAACAAACAGCAGAGGGAAAATGTAAATATTGTAAGCTAGACAACTCAAAGAGTACATATCCTGTGGTCTGACCATTAAAATAAAACCATAAGCATCAATATAAAAGAATAAACATATCACTTACTCTTTGCTTTTTTTACAAACAGATTTCTTTTTGGAAGAGCAGGGAATGGTATTCCAGTACCCAGATGAGGCAGATATTTCCACACAGTAATCAGAATGATTACTTGAAGGCTCCCCTTTTTTCCAGTTGACAAAATCTACTGCAGCATTGTCTAGCCATAACCACTCCCCTAATGTTATAAATTTGAAAATGAATTAAAAGGGCAGAACAAATAGTCAACAAAGATATTAATGAAATCTGTCAGTTTTTATTTTTTTTTCTATTTTCTACAAGGGATTTTTAATATTTCTTTCTGTCAGTTATTCCATAATATACTAATAGATTTTACTTCCTCTTATTCTTTTACGAAGATTATCTTAGATCTGGATATTAGGGCTGTATGAAATTTCATTGAATGTTTCAGTTCAAAGCTGTTTTGACATGTTTCAAGCTTGAAACAGCCAAATTGAAACGAAACAAAAAGCTTCAAACAGCTTTGAATCAAAATGAAGACACTCAAAATGTTTTGAAAGTTTCAAAATGTTTTAAGTTTTGAAGCAGCCCAGTGGTGGGAAGCAGGGGAGAGCACAGTCCTGGTTCTGCCTGCCTCCCGCCGCTGGGCTGTGCTCCAACCGGCTCCACCAGCCCCATCGAGCTCAACCCGGCAGCGGGAGGTGGAGCATAGCCCTGGCTCTCCCAGCCTCCTGCTGCTGGGCTGAGGTCCATGGGGCTGTGGGCCCCCAGATCTGCATGCTGGATGAGAGGAGACTGCTTCTGCTGCCTGGGACTAGTAGCAGCATCAATCTTCCCTGCCGTTGGGTGCAGGCTGTGCCCAGTGCTGGTCCCAGGTGACAGGGCAGCCTCCTGTCATCCGGCGCACAAATCTGGTGGCCTACACCTCTGGGAGGAGTTCAGCACTGCCTGGCAGCCCTCCCAGGGGTGTGAGCCCTTGGACCTGCATGCCAGATGACAGGAGGCTGCCTCTGCCACCTGGGACCAATGGCAGCTTCAAACTTCCCTGGCGCTGGGTGCAGGTGGCACCTAGCGCTGGTCCTGGGTGGCAGCGGCAGCCTCCTGTCATCTGGTGCACAGCTCCAGGGAGGAGTCCAGCACAGCCCTCCCAGGGTGCAGGTCCCCAGATCTGAGTGCTGGATGAGAGGAGGCTATCGCTGCTGGCAAGTATCAGGAGTTTTGCTTTGAACAGTTTGAGGTGCAGTTTTCAAGAAACCTCTGCACCTAGCTTCTTGAAACTTAGCAGGTGTCATGCCCTCAGAAGGGGTTATCATCCTTGCAATTTTCATCTGAATCAGGCAAGAAATGACAGTTTTAGGCATTTTCATGATTCCCTAGTATAGCCTACGGGTGAAATGTCGAAACACTTCAAAACAGTGAAACAATTTTGCCAAAACGAAACAGAACAGTGCTTCAAAACAAAATGAAACAAGATGAAACACAGTCCCTTCAAAATGGCAAAATGGATATCGAAATGAAACGATGGTGTTTCACACAGCCCTACTGGATATCCACATTTTACTCATAGTCCTGCATCTAGACCCATATTTTAGGAGTATGATGAGATACATTATTTTAGACATCCACATTTGAAATATGTGGGCACTGTTTATAAAGGATCTTAAGGACACTGGAAGGAACAAAATGGAGGGAGGGAGGATTTTTGACTGGCATTAGACTGGGGACTCCCTTTCTACTAAGCATTTTGGTAATCTCTTTTTTTCTCTTCAAACCACAACTCCCCCTGCCCCCACCCCCGAACCGATAATCTACAGTCCGATAATCCTAGTAATCTACAGTCTAGTTCTTTCCTTACATCTGTGAATATCATTCTTTATGTTCTTCACTAATAATCTATTCTCCTTTGAACATAGCATTTGGCTTCTATGGTGGATTTTTTTTTCTCTTCCTTTTAAGCACTACACAGCAACCTTGAGTAAAGGTATGAGTTGGTCTGTAGTGTGCTGATGCTTCTAACTGGTACAGAGAAACCTCTCAGGTACTTGCTTGGTGGGTCTTACTCACTCAGCGTTAAAACAATAGCTAGATTTGGGAGGGTCAAATTAAAACTGTCCTGTGTCAAATTAGCAAGGACTGTAAGGATTTGATTTGATTTTGCCTTCCTCTCTAGCACAAGTCACAGTCTGAACAAGTTTTCCCAAATAATTTCACTGTCAGTGCAGTGCTCTCTCCCTGTGACATACAGTAGATTACTTTTTCTAACTGGATGCTATGTGGCTCTGGTGAGAGAAACAAGCTGGAGCAGATGCTCCTGTGGATTGCTCTAGACAAGTGGCTACTTGTGAACACAGGACAATGGATTCAGTGGCCATGGGACTGAATTCTAGTCCTATGCTCTTATATAACTAATCAGAAACTGTAGGGGTTACACAGATTCTGGGCTTCTGTGCAGTTCACAGATAGCTGTGAAAGACAACCACAAATCATAACAGCCTTTAAGTACTTTTAATTTATGTTCAGACAATTTTGGTCCCCATAATAGCCTCAATTATAGCCAGCTTGATTGGAGCACAAATCCACACTTGTTCTTTCTCCTTAAAGAAAGGACCTTCTGTATTCTGCTTTTCAGGAACTGTATCTGTTAAAACTGTTTTAATTGTTATTACAACATGTACTAATGAAAGCTAGATTTTTGCATTGTATATATTTCTGTAGCCATAAGAATCCCTCCACTTGAATGTCATGAATTCATGGGCCCTACTGTGAATGAAACATAACAAAAACTCATAAATCTCTTTTCTACAATATTTTAAGGGATCTATTTTGGCTGGATAAGACCAAAATCTCCAGTTAAGATTTCTAAGCAAAACACTTCACATCTTTTTTTTATAAATTCTTCAGACTATTTCCTGATGAATTTCTATTTTCTATGCATTAGAACCTGATAGGTTATGACAGATTTTTATAATTATAGACCATCTGTTTCATTCAGAATATTTATAATAAATTATTGAAATTAAAATCATTACCACCCACATTTCTGTATATTCCTGCCCAAAACCCATTTGTCTTGTCTGCAAGGGGCTCAATACTGACAGTTAAAAAGTTTGATTCAGCCAAATCTTCTATGGAAACCAAAGTAGCTCCTAAAAAATGAATTACGAAACAAATCAGCCTATTATTACACACTTATTACTCCATCCTGCTTTAGAAACTAGCCTTTTTTAATAGTAGGAGTTTCTATTATAAAACCCTCTACAGACAGTAGGCTAGTAGGGAAGAAGCAGGTTTATTAATAGGAAGTAGAGAAAGTCATGAGGATGCAGGGGAGGGAACAATTTAGATCCTTGTCTAGAGACAGTGTACCTGGGGTGGGGGATGGAACCAGGGTAGCAGCTGTCTTTGGTGGGGGCACAGAAATAACCACCCACCACTATGGTGGCCTTGTGCATTGTGACTGCCCCAAGTGTGGACCTACACTACTATGCTTCTGCTTCCCTATACCATGGAGATAGCATATCCCAGACCACCCACCCCTGAGCACTCTTTGACTACCTGCTCCTGTATCTGTGCTCCAAATTCTGAAATATGTTGGTGAAGACAATCTAGGAAGTCCCTCTGCTGCCAGGCTCAAATCTTCATCTCTAGTGTGCCTGAGAACAACAATCTGATGTTCCCTCTGAAATATTTTCCAGCATGTTTCTAGGCCTGAAGCATGTGTGAGGAAGTGGGTAAAGTGGACTTAGGGCTGTACAAGCTGGGGCACTGCTGCCATGCTGTACAGAAGCCCTTTGTCCTAGGATTCAAAATAACAAAAACAGTGAAATAACAAAAACAGTGCAAAATTCAAAAGAACAAAGTGAGCATTGAAGTGTGATATAAATAAAATACCAATACAATTGCTTCTTACCCAATCAAAGGCACTGAACAGATGCTTCGCTCCATTTTATTTCATCAGTATTAAACATGTAGCAATGGCCATGGAAAAGAATCCAAGATTGGTCATCATTTGATTCAGGGCATTTTTCAGGAAGTTGTGGAGGGTCTGTAGGAACTGTAACTGTTAAGAAAGTATAGATGATGTCCTGACCCTGCTGAAGTCAACATAATTTTGGCTATTTTGTTATTTCTTCTATATAGAATCATTTTAAAAAATAGGGCTCGTAAATGTTAATAAAACACTGTCAAGCACTTTCCTGTAATTGGCAATTATTACCCCCTAAAGTCACACTTGACTCACAGTGCAATCAATAAAGGTCTGCATTATTCATTACTACTAGAGTCGAGTGAAGTTCTGAATATTGACACCAGGAAAAATTCTGAATACTGGTTTCCGTCAATTTATGCAGATTCTTTATATGCGAATACACTCTTATGTGATGAGTATATTTAAACCCATAATTCATTATATGAAAGGTAAATTTACTCTTATGTGATCAGCATAGATACCCCCCCACCCCTCGCCCAAGTAGGTAAGTCTGTGGGGGGAGGCGAAAGGGCCATGGCCCCACTCACCCCAGCCCTGGCTGCAGCAGCCCTAGGAGTGGCCAGCACCAGCTGCCTACAGCTGCTGGGCTGCACCATGGTCTGCCTGTCCCACTGCGCCTGGGCTCACCCCAGCTCCTGGGCTGTGCCGTGCCCTGGTGTAGGCAGCTGGTGTCAGCTGCTCCCGGGGGCCACTCCAGCACAGGCTGGGGTGAGTGCAGGAAAGTGAAGCCCCGGGTGGTGCGGGGCACAGCACTTACCCCAGCCCTGGCTGCAGTGGCCCTGGAGTAGACGACACCAGCTGCCTGTACTAGGGCATGGCACAGCCCAGGAGCAGAGGTGAGTGGGGTCACACAGAGCATGGTGCAGCTCATTGGCTGCAGGCAGTTAGTGCCAGCGACTCCCGGGGCCACTGCAGCTGGGGCCGGGAGAAGTGCAGCTCTGTTCCCTCTGCTTTGCTGCCTTGTGCAGTCCCAGGAGTGGCACCCCTCCCCCCACCCCTTCCCTAGTCCCAGCCTTCCTCCCTGTCATGGGAACCTATCCCTTTTTGTTAGATTGTAAAGTGGGTTCACTTTATGCAAATTCAATTTATGTGCCGTTCTTCGGGAATGCATGTACAGCATAAATTGAGGGAAGCCTGTAGTAGAGTCAGTGGGTACCCTGTGGGAGAAGGGAGAAGGGGTAGAAAAAAACATCTTGGAATGCTGGAGGTCTGTGCCATAGCTTTTCTCAGACAAGATGGTGTATAGACATTCACTCTCTCAGGAGAAACTCTCCCAGGTATGTTTTAACTCTGATTGTTCCCAGCTTATTTTAACCCATTTTTGCTCTGGGAGAAAAATCCTGAACATCTGTACAGTCATGGTTTCTCCTAGGAGAGCAGCAACTCTCCCAGGAAAAAATGAATATCTGTATATAGCCTTAGATGAATCAGCATTTTACAAAAGAAAGCAATTTCGCCACAAGATTTCTGAGCACAAGTAACTATTACAGCACATTGGAATAACCTGAAATTAGTGAAATAGTAGTGTTGTAGTGTCTCAGTACATAGTAGTTCTTTCTGCATATAAAACGACTTTACACATAGTCCAGGTGCCGGGGGGGTATGTGTATATAGAGTGGCTTTAATTAGAGTGGCTCTTGTAAGCTGCTCTAATTGAAGCGCTGGCAATGTCGTGTGTATTCAGTATTCCATGCTTCAAAATGCCAGCAGGGGCACTGTAACTAAAGCTTGTTGGATGAGTTTAAGTTAAAGTACCCCTGCCACCATTTGAAAAATGGGGATGCTGAATACACAAAATGCTGAGGCTGCTGGAGTGTGCTAATTAATTAACTGAGTCTGTTCTGACATGCTGTAATTACAGCACATTGGAGCAGATGTCCCACATGTCTACAGGCACCCATAATTTCTTTGAGTCACAAAGAAATAATGCTCTTTGCCTTTACATGCACCTTCATTGACATCCACAGAAGGTAGAAATACTGAGCAAGGTTAGTATGAAGCTTAAGAAAGGAGGAACTAAAACACAACTAAGGCAAAAAAAAATCCCCAGTCTAAAGAAAGCCAGGATTTTAGTAACTGAGAACATGGTGCAGTCCATCAAAGTATAATCTAACATACTTATTACAAATGTAACTTGAATCTGAGTAGTCCTCATTTGGGCAACAGAAAGAATGTTGAAATACCTTATTTCTTTCTCGCTTCCTTGTAAGGGGCTTAGTGAACCACCTTAGGACCAATGACCCATGGGTTCTTTGGGGTGCCTATCTGCACCCAGTGATGAGGTATGCAATCAAACAAATGAAGCTTCTGACCCCTTGACATTATAGATTCATAGATTCATAGATTAGGGGTCGGAAGGGAC